CATGTCGGTAAGTGCACCCGTGTTGTGCAATTCCTGTGGAAGGCAGAGAGTCTGTTGGATCCCCTGGAACTGGAGTTATGGACAGTTGTTAGCTGCCATGTGGGTGCTTGGTTTCGAACCCGGGTTTTCTGCAAGTACAGCTAGTGTTCTTAACCGCTGAGCCATCTCTCCAGCTTTCATCAGTTTCTTAAAAAAAAAAAAAAGCATTTTATTTTATTATTTTTATGCTACGTGTATGAGTGTATTGCGTGCATATACTTAAATGCTCCCATGTTGTGAAATGCCCTGGGAAGTCAGAAGAGGGCTTCAGATTCCCCAGAACTGGAGTGATGGATGCTTGTTTGCTGCCATATGGGGGCTGGGAATCGAACCCTGGTCCTCTGCAAGAACAGACAGTGCTCTAAACCACTGAGCCGTGTCCCCTTTCTTCAGTTTCTTAAAATCCTGACATTTACTACCCTTTCTTAAAGTTATTTTCAATTTACACCTATTCTCCATATATTTCTCTTACAAAATCTTTGTAAATATTACATTGTTTATGCCCATTTTGGATTTATAGCTAAGAATTCTGCATTGAATACCTGAAGTTAAGCCCGTCCTAGTACTTAGAATTGGTTTAACATGGTTAATTTGTTTTCAAAGTGAAATGAGAATCCTTTATAATTCTGACTTGCCTAGGTATCCTACTGTCACAAAATATCAGTCATCCTCTGTCAGTCTGGAAGATTACCCACAGCAGGCCACCTACTTTGTCATTCACAACTTGTATACATGTGCCAGTTCACGTACGTATAATCATATTCTAATTATTCCTTTCCAGTCACTGTGCAATCAGTCCTAGCAAAGTATGCGTATATTATTCTCTTGTGGTCACCGTACTCAAGCATACATAATTGCTAGTTACCCCATTTTATTACTACCACTATGATTACTACTATTTAGTGATATACATATAATTAATATCATGAATATTATGTATATAAATAGATCGTGCAAAATTATTTATACACTAGTTTAATTTTCAGTTTCATTTGAATAAATTATGTCCTTTACATGTTCGAGTGGTCTATGAGCAATTCCAAATTTGTTAGTGTTTTTGTTTCAAGTTGTAATTTCTCTGAAATGTCTGTCTTAATTTTCTTGCCCCCCAGACGTGAAAATTTGGGGGGTAATATTTTACAAAATTTTGGTCATCTATATGTCATAAATTATCAAGTTCACCAGGTAATATGTGAGAATTCCAGATTACTTCCTCTCAAATGATGGTCACAAATTGAATATATTAAAAAATGTTATAGAATCCTGGTGGGTGGGGCCTGGAGTCATGGCTCAGAGGTTAAGAGCACTGACTCCTCTTGCAGAGGGCCCAGGTTTGATTCCCAGCACCCAAATGGTGGCTATGAACCGTCCTTAACTCCAGTTCCAGGGAAATCTGAAGCCCTC